GACATTCTGCGGCTGCTGTCGCATGGGCTGTCTGGAGGTGCACCCTCACTCTTCCTGGGTACTGTGGTTTCTTCTCCATCGCTGGTTTATTCTGCATGGTGTGAACCATCACGGCTCTGGAGTCAGATTTCCAACCAGGACAATCAGCCGAGATCTGCACTCCCCATGCCTGCCCGTGACATGTGCCCCGTTACCTGAGCTGCTGGTGCTCACTCCTGCTGCCAGGAGGCCAGGCCTCCCCCTTTCCCTGCCTCCCCATCTCCCCGAGGCCTCTCTCTCTCTCACCACAGGCTGTTCCGATGGACAGGACAGGGGTGAGACCGTGGTGCTCTCACACTCAACCTCTGTGGAAGTCCTGTCATTCTCACCCCTGGAGTCTGCTTCCCACCCTGGGTGTCCCAGCCTAGCTCTGCTACTAGGGTGAGGGCTCAGGGAAACCACCCAGCCCTCACCTGCCCCCTGAACTGCATCTTCCCCACTGATTTATTCCATAAGCATGTAAGCATCTACTGTGTGCCAGGCGCAAAGAAGACAATGGGATAACTGGGCAAGGAGGATTCCAGGCAGAGGGAGCAGCCAGGGCAAAGATGGGAAATGGGGTTGTAATGAGAAGGAGCAGAGGAGACAAGGGGTAGGAACGGTTGCAGAGCTCAGGGACGTGATGGTGACCAGTCATACTGGGCACTGCAGGGGCTCTGGCTTCTGCTGTGAGGGATAGGGAGCTGGGGAGACTCCCGGAGTCTGGTTTCATTTCCATATTGCTGAGCACCTGGAGAGGCTGTGTGTTCTGGTTGGGCTGGGGGAGAATGCATTCTCTGCAGAAGACAACCAGGTGCTGAGGCCTGAAATCATAACCAGGCCTGGGGCACTCAGACAAGGACTGGAGGCCAGGCCAGAGGAGCAGAGCTCAGGCTGTGCACAGAACTGAACCTTGAACAGTGACTGAACCTTTGAACAGTGACTGAACCTTTCAGCCCACTGGCAGTGGGGCTGCCCAGGCAGCCAGTGGCATGGTCAAATATGAGGTCTGCAGAGGTGGAGCTGTCCGTCTATGAGTTTCCCAACACCAGCTTCACTGCACCCTCCTTTTAGCTCCCTTGGGTTCTCCAGCCCTAAGGGTGGTAGCAGCTTCCTGCAAGCATCAACCTCTGAGTTTCTGCAACATCACAGCAACATCCAGTTTTGCTCTCTGAGCCTTGTAAAACCTGCACAACCAGTCCCTAACTTATATCCCCTCTGTTTGAAAAAGCTAGTGCGGTTTCTGTTTCCTTACTGGACTCTAACTGGTGTAGTACTTGGTATCAACAAGAGTCCCTGGCCAGGTGCAGTGGCTCACGCCTGTAATCCCAATACTTTGGGAGGCTGAGGCAGGAGGAACACTGAGTCCAGGAGTTCAAGACCAGCCTAGGCAACATGGTGAGACACTGTATCTACAAAAAAAAAATTTTAATTAGCCACGTGTGGTGGCACAAGTCTGTAGTCCCAGTTTCTCAGGAGGCTGACGTGGGAGGATCACTTGAGCCTAAGAACTCGAGGCAGCAATAAGCTGTGACTGTACTACTGCACTCCAGTCTGGAGGACAGAGTGAAACACTGCCCCCTCCCCCAAAAAAGAAAAGTCCCATGAAACATGTACAGAGGTGAGATTCTGGGATTGATTTGACTCTGACCTCGGTCAGGAATGCAGTGCTGAGCTTCTTGCCAACAGAATATGAGACGCTAGGAAGCCACAGCATGCAGTTGCATCGTGTTTGACCGTCACCTGTGGTTACTTGACATGAAGTGTTGACTGAAGCCAGCACCTTGGGAGACACAGTGGCCACTGCACGGAGCAGCTGGTAGCAGCAATGGTGACCATGTGGACTGTGGGGTGGGTTGCCTACTTTTGACAGTGCTAGAGAACTTACAGAAATACGACAAGGTCAGGGCTTTAAATCCTTAGCTCAAGACACACAGAAACTTCTGTAGTTTAGTGGTTAAAAAAAAAAAAAAAAAAAAGACACACAGGACCACAAAGCTTCTAGGCCACCTCTAAAAGAATTTCTGAAGCAAGGGCAAAAACACCTGAAACTTAGAGAACTTAATTGCATGCATTGCAGAATTACAACCTACACTGAATTCACAGATCCGCTAAGTGTCATCTATGAGATTTAGGACAAGGAGGGAGACCTGAGGCATGGAATGGCATTGAGTGGATGCAGATGAAGCTGAGAATTGTGCCACTCTTGTACCAGAAGCTGAGCCAGCTTGCTCCAGTCAAGATAACACATCTGAGTCAGCAGCTGCAATTGGAGTAATGACCTGATAATCCACGGTCATTCCCTAGGACCCATCTGTCCTTTGCAGAGGCCAGTCAAGTACAATGGGGATGTGATCAGACCTGCCACCCCTGCAATTTCAAGTCCTTGAGAGTGGCACTGATTTCTGCAATCTCCTCAAGGACTTGGCCTTGCTTCTGGTCTGCCTTCCTGTCAGAGGGGTGCTCTAGGGGCTTCTGCTCAGGACATCCTATTTTTTTTTGTTGTTGTTTTTGAGATGGAGTCTTTGTCACCTAGGCTGGAGTACAGTGGTGCAATCTCAGCTCACTGTAACCTCCAGCTCCCTGGTTCAAGACTCCTGAGTAGCTGGGATTACGGGCACATACTACCATGTCTGGCTAATTTTTTTTTTGTATTTTTAGTAGATATGAGGTTTCACCACGTTGGCAAAACTGGTCTTGAACTCCTGACCTCACGTAATCCGTCTGCCTCTGCCTCCCAAAGTGCTGGGATTACAGGCGTGAGCCACCGTGCCCAGCCAGGCCCTCCTATTTTAAGGGCCCCCATCCTACCAGTCAAAGAGCCACTGTGGTGATTCTGTCATTTGCTGAGTATGTCTTATCCAATGACCCATCCTCACACTGGGGAATAACAAGAATGGTGTGCACACAATGAGACCACCAGAAGACAAATTCAGGGCATAAAGTCCTGCTTTGTCCGTGGACCACAGAGTATTTGAGGATTAGCCTCAACTCAGAGCCAGGCTCTCTGAATTCCTGAGACATCTGAGTATTTCCTGCCCCACCCTCACCCCAGGGAAATGGCAGCAGAACCTTTGAGGAAGATATACTGTCTATTCTTGTGGCAGGACTGGCTCTTTCTTAAAAGGGATCAGTCTCCCTTCAGTTGAGAAGCCATGTGTCTGGGGACTGACCTAGGTCTGTAAACTGGGTAATAGGTGTGAATCTTGCAATTGCCTCGTAAGGGGCACCCCATTCCCTCCAGCCACTCCTCATTGTCCCAGAGCTCTAACTAGTCTGGCATGCTGTAAATGGACAGGTGTGAACTATACTTCTGAGGGTTGCTATTATACTCCAAAGGAATTGCCAGGTTTTCATTCATGTAATTGATGTAAACCTGGGGAACAAGTATGGGGATGGCACCTAAGGGTATCTGACCAAGGAGGATGGGGCACAATGTTGGACTGGAACAAATGTATCTACAGGGGATGACTTACAGAGATTAAATTTAAGATGTAAGCTTGTACAGCTTGAAGAATACTGTTTGTTTGACAGGTTCACTAAGACCTGGACTCAAAAGTGGCCCAAATTCAAGGAGGCTGAATTGCTAGAACTCCCCTGGTACAATTTGGAGAAAGGAATCCAAAAGCTTAGGGATACAGGAAATGTACAGTTTGGAATCTGTGGGTTATCTCAATAACCTTCAGCTCCCTGGTCTCATTGGCTGTGATGCCAGTTTCAGGCATGAACTCAAGAGAGGAGAGGGAAGGGGGAGGTGCGTGGGGGGGGGGGTGAGGGGTTGGGGGCTATAACCTTGACTGTGGATCCTCTTACCTAGGAAATACCCTTGTCATCCTGCGCTCTGAGGGCAGCCCGAGAGGAGCAAAAGTAGCCCAAGGACTCTGGTAAGCTGAAACAATGCAACGGAGACCCCTGGGGTTTCGGAGCAAAGCTGTGTCTCTCCTGTATCCCCTCAAAGCTCCAGCAACCACCATGGTTCAGCCTTTAGAGGCCAAGCTCCCTTTCCCAGCTCCTAGGATCTGGTAAATCCACCTCTTCATGGCGTCCCCAGCTCAAGGTGGGCCACATCACAGGCTCAATCGCTGCACAGGTCCACGTGCAGGGACTTTCTTGCCCTCCCAGCAGAGAAGAGCCATGTGGCGCCAACCAGAGGCCTGTGGAAGTCAAGCTGGGTCCACAAACAGCCAGCAGTGTTTCTAGGCAGACAGATTTATCCTTTAAAATGAATCCGAGGCCGGGCAGGGGTGCGGTGGTTCACGCCCGTAATCCCAGCACTTTGAGAGGCCGAGGCGGGCGGACCATGAATTCAGAAGATCGAGACCATCCTGGCCAACATGTTGGAACCCTGTCTCTATAAAAAAATAAAAATAAAAAATAAAACGAATCCCAGCCACAATGGTGGAGAGAACCGAGGCGGGGTGGGGGTGAGGGACGCCGTGCAGCTTTGGACAGAGTTCTGCCCCTCCCTCAGGCCTAGGCGTCCTGCTACCCTCTAGGCCTCTGACCTCCTAGCCCTTGGCCGGAGACAGAAACCCGTTTACAACCTCTGTTCTCGCTCACAGCTCGGAAGGAAGGAGAGGAGGGGACTCACACCCTGCCCTTGTTCCCACTGGAGCCCCAGATCTCCATTTCGCACAGTTCTCAGAGGGGACCACCACACCTGTTAGAGACGCCAGTTCTTGCCCATCTCTGCAAGGACGAACCTCTACCAGAAGTAGAGCTTGCTGCCTCCACCCTCTGGATGTTTCTCTGGGGTCAAGAGCCCACCACACATGTTCGAAGCCAGGCCTTGGTGTCCGGTGGGGATACCTTCAAAGGGACTGTGCACCACGGTCCTCCACACCCAGGGCCTCCCCTGCACTCCCAGCAGGACAGCGTCCGCACCGGCAGCCGGCGAAGGCAGGGCCAGCAGACAGCGCACTCAGACCCGGGACCCCGCAGCGCCGCGAGTCCGCGACCTCCCGCTCTGGGGCGTCCTGGGGTCAGGGCGCAGTGCGGCCCCCGTGCCGCTTCCGGTGCTAGTTAAGGTTGGAGCGCTGGCTGAAGGGTTTCCCGCGCTCGCCGCAAGCGTAGGGCCGCTCGCCCGTGTGCTGGCGCCGGTGGCTCTCGAGCTCCGACTTGCGCACGAAGGCCTCGCCGCAGAGTGCAGGCGCTGGTGCCGGCGCAGTTCGGGGCGGCCGCGGAAGGCGAAGGGCCGCTCGCCCGTGTACGTGAGTCGGTGGCTGAGCAGGCTGGAGCGCTGGCTGAAGGCCTGGCCGCACCGGGCGCACGCGTGAGGCTTCTCGCCCGTGTGGTGTGCACGTGCCGGTGCTCCTCCAGGTGGGAGCCCGTGACGAAGGCCTGGCCGCACTCGGCGCACTCGAAGGGCCGCTAGTCCGTGTGTGAGCGCTAGTGCTGCAGGAGCTGCGAGCTCCCGCGGAAAGCCTGGCCGCCCTCCGCGCCGGGGAGCGGCTTCTCGCTGCTGCGTGTGCGCGGGTGCTGCCCCAGACCCGCCGCGCGCACGAACGCCTTGCCGCAGTCGGGGCAGGCGTGCGCCCGCGCGCCCGCGTGGATCTTCAGGTGCTCCGCCAGGCTGGAGCTCTGGCCGAAGCACTTGCCGCAGTCGGGGCAGGCGTGCGGCCGAGCGCCCGTGTGCACGCGCCGGTGCTCCAGGAAATTGGAGTTCCAGCTGAAGGCCTTGCCGCACTCCGGGCACTCGTAGGGCTTCTCGTCCGTGCGCGGGCGGCGGTGCTGCACCGGCGTGGTGCTTCAGCCGAAGGACTTGCCGCAGTCCGGGCAGCGGAAGGGCTTCAGGCCGCTGTGTGTCTTCTGGTGGTGGATGAGCTGCGAGTGCCCGCGGAAGGCCTGGCCGCACTCGCCGCTGTGGATGCGCCGGTGCTGGCTGAGGCTGGAGCTCCACGCGAAGGCCTGGCCGCACTCGGGGCACGTATACGGCTTCTCGCCGGTGTGCACGCGCCGGTGCTGCAGCAAGTAGGAGCTCTGGCTGAACGCCTTGCCGCACTCCCCGCACCGGCAGCCCGGCCTCGCAGGGAGGGGAGAGGGCTGCGGCGCCCGGTCTGAAGGCTGGCTCCTGGGCCCGGCCCCCACCTGCCCACCGTCTGCGGGCTCCCGCTCCCTGCCGGGACCCTCCTGGTCGTCCACCGCCCCCAGCGTGGCTTGCTGCTGCTGACCATCTCCTGCCTCCTCTGGGACCTCCGTTAAGTCTTCCCAGGTCCCCCAGCCTCCAGACACAGCCCCCTCAGAGGGGCCCCTAGTGGCAGTCTTCACACTGCAGAGGTCCTGGCCTTCTTCTGGGGCCACCTGCAGGGTCCACCCTCCTCGGGACTCCATCTCGCTTCTGTCACCTAAAACAGAAGAGAAACGGTAAGTTCCTTAGAGAACACAAAGGCAGACAGCGCGCCTGAGGGGTTGGGGGACATGACTGTGGGGGGGCTGGTTGTCATGCCCTCACCCACTCTTCTCCTCATGGCCCTGGATGTCCCGTGCCCTCTGCAGCCTGGAGCAGGAAGACTAGCAGGCGGGCTAGATACTCAGGGGACAGGCCAGCATTCTGGGCCTCTCTGACAGTGCCACGTGCACATCCTCACACCCGGCTCAGCAGGAGCAGGAGGGGCGCCAGGATCGCGAAGGACTCAAAGCCGTGTGCACCACACTTGCACCGGCCCTCTTGGAACGTCACTCTCTTCCACTTGCTTGAGGTTGGTGGCGGGTGGGGGGGGAGGGACGGGGAGTGTCAGGAAGGTGAGGACTCCAGTTTGTGAAGATGGTGGATCTGCCTCCATTCCGGAAGGCTGGAGAACATGCCACACCCAAATCCAGCTATGTCTGCCTCGCCCACTCCACCCTGGTCAGATCCCTGGGCGGTCCCCTCCACACAATATTATGGTCAGCACCGCCAGGCTGGAGGAATCTCAGTGGCGCTTACCCAGGCCATGGCCACACCAGGCCTCTGTGCAGGCCAGACCAGGTAGTCCAGGGCATGGGGTGGCTGTGCGGCCCAGATCCCTGAGGGAGAGAGGCCAAGGGTGGGAGGGCCTCCTTGGTCCTGAGGCCATGCCTGCCTGTCCAGCCGTTCCTTCCCACAGTGAAGTCTCTACAGTGAGCAAAGCCCATCCCCATTTGCCCTGAGCACCTTATCATTCTTTGTGTAGCCTCCAGCCCTGCTGCCAAGACAGGGCAGGGCAGGGACAAGTGCGTGGATGGTTCCATACCTGGAGGTGGGGCCTGGAAGGGGCCCAGGGGAGCCTCTTGCTCCTCTACCTCCTCTGTCCTGGGGACCAGATCCTCTTGGAGGCTGGGAGCTGGGACCTGGAAACAGGAAGGCTGGAGGGCAGGGTGAGGTGTTCAGCCCAGCAGATCTGAGGAGAAAACATGGGGCATGCAGTGGCATGACCCACCCTTCTCTGCACCCTCAGTTCTCAGGACAGTGCAGAGCACACAGGTGTGGACTGGAGATCTCTGACTCTGCAGCCCAAGCCAGGACCACCAAACTCCCACCTGTCACTATCATTTTCCCGCAGCCCCAGGCCCTCTCAGACACCAACCCCCTACCGGTCCCAGTGCTGGCTCAGCTGGGGTTGTGAGAGAGGGAGGCACACCCAGCCCCAGCCCAGCCCCTACCCACCTAGAGTCCCGGCTCAGCTGACTCCTGCTGCAGCCCCTCTACCAGGGTGGTGGCGTTCTCAGGGCTTCCGGGCCACTGCTACTGCGGTAGGCCTGGATCTCCAGGACCAGTGTGCCCAGTAACTGCTCCAGCACCGAGAGCTCCAGCATCTGCTCCTTGGAGCACGCCTCGGGCGTCAGCCACTGGCACACAGCTCATGCAGCTGGGCCAGGGTTCCTCACAGCCCTCCTGCCTCCTCATAGCAGAACCCCCAGAAGCTCTGGCCAGGGGTCTTAGAGCTGGGCTTACCCATCATCAGTGCGAGTAGACTCTGGAGGACCTGGGGGGCGAGGGCTGATGCCTTACACATCTGGGCAGCCATCCTGCCCATTCTCTGGGAGAGAAGGGCAGCTGCTTGGCCCAAAGTACTTTCTCCAGAGCTGGAAACACACAGGTGAGCCTGTGAGCACAGCAAGGCCATGAAGTCCCCCTCCTTGGGACCAACTGAGACTGAGTAAAAATGTAAGAATGGGGGTATCAGCGCTTTAGGCCCCCAGTGTCAGCATCTTTGCCCATCTGGGTATCAAGGTGCCTGAGGGACACACTGAGGTGCCATGGCTGCTTGAACATCCCTGTGCCTCTCCCTGCTTTTCCTGAGGGTCTCTCCCCTGCCTTGTCTTCCTTCATCCCATACACAGAACACCTAAGGCAGAGATTGTAAACAGGACACCCAGAGTCAGACCAGCAGATGGGTCCTGTTTGACAGTCCCCTCCAGGAAGTGTTTTAAAATTTTAAGTTGGCTGCCAATGTTAACACTTAATCAGATGCTGGTGGGAATATAAAATGGTGTAGCCTATGTGGAAACAGTGGCAGTTTCTCAAAGGGTTAAATGTAGACTTATCATATGACCCAGCAATTCTACTCATAGAGAAATGAAAATATGTCCACACAAAACCTTGTACTTGGATATCATGGCAACCTTATTTATAATAGCCAAAAAGGGGAAACAAGCCAAAATGCCCATCAACTGATGAATGGACAAAATAAAACATGATCCATCTCTCCATACAATGGAATATAATTCAGCCATAAAAAGGAATGCCCACCCTGGTCAACATGGTGAAACCCCATCTCTTCTAAAAATACAAAAAATTAGCCAGGTGTAGTGGCTCGTGCCTCTGGTCCCAGCTAGTTGGGAGGCTGAGACACAAAAATCACTTGAACCCAGGAAGCAGAGGTTGCAGTGGGCTGACATCATGCCACTGCACTCCAGCCTGGGTGACAGAGTGAGACTCCATCTCAAAAAAAAAAAAAAAAAAAGAATAAAGTACAAGGTGGAAGAATCTTGAAAACATTATAAGTGTAAAAAGAAAACAAAAAAAATGCTAAGTGAAAATTGAGACACAAAAGACTTCATATTATGTGGTTCCATTTATATGAAATGTCCAGAACAGATAAGTCCATGAGACAGAATAGATTAGTGGTTGCCAGGATCTACAGGGAAAAGAGAAAGGGGAGATAGTTTCCTTGGGAGTGATGAAAATATTCTGGAATTAGTGGTGATGACTGCACAACTCTGAATATACTAAAAACCACTGAATTATGCACTTTAAAAGGATAAATTTTATGGTATTTATGTTATTTTATTATATATATACATATATTTCAAATATATATGTTTTTAAGAGACGGGGTCTTGCTATGTTGCCCAGGCTGGAGTGCAGTGGCTTTTCACAGGCTCGATCCCACTACTGATCAGCACAGGAGTTTTGACCTGCTCCATTTCCGACCTGGGCCAGTTCACCCCTCCTTAGACAACCTGCTGGTCCCCTGCTCCTGGGAGGTCACCATATTGATGCCGAACTTAGTGTGGATACCCGATCAGCATAGTACACTACAGTCCAGAACTCCTGGGCTCAGGAGGTCCTCCCACCTCAGCCTCCCGAGTAGCTGGGACTTCAGGCATATGCCACCACGCCTGGCTAAATTATGTTTTTTAAAAGTTACCACCCAGTCTCAAAAGCATAAGAACTGTATGATTCTATTTATGCAACATTCTCTTTTTTTTTCTTTTTGAGACGGGGTCATCTGTCACCAGGCTGGAGTGCAGTGGTGTGATCTCATCTCCCAGACTCAAGCCATCTTCCCACCGCAGCCTCCCGAGGAGTTGGGACACCAAGTACGTGCCACCAGAAGTGGCTAATTTTTATTTTTTGAGATGGAGTTTCGCTCTTACCCCAGGCTGCAGTCAAGTTGCACAATTTTGGCTCACTGCAACCTCTGTCCCCCAGGTTCAAGTGATTCTCCTGCCTTCAGCCTCCCAAGTAGCTGGGATTACAGGCGCGTGCCACCACACCAGGCTAATTTTTATTTTTTTATTTATGTAGTAGAGACAGGGTTTCACCGTGTTGTCCAGGCTGCTCCCAAACTCTTCACCTCAGGTGATCCACCCACCTCGACCTCCCAAAGTGCTAGGATTACAGTCCTGAGCCACCCCATCTGGCCTACTTTTTTCATTTTTTGTAGAGACAGGGTTTCGCCATGTGGCCCAGGATGGTCTCAAACTCCCAAGCTCAAGTCATCAGCCCACCTCAGCTTCTCAAAGTTTTGGGATTACAGGCATGAGCCACCTCTCCCAACCTCTGCAACCTTCTTGAAATGACAAAATTGTAGAAATGAAGAATAGATTACTAGTTGACTAAAAAAGGTGAATGAGGGGCAGAGGTAGGAGGGTAGCGTGCGCAGCTGTGAAATGGCAACTTGGGGATCCTGCAGTGATGGAAATGATCTGCGTCTTGGTTGTGATCTTGTACTCTAGTTTTTCTTTTTCTCTTCTCTTTTTTCTGAGACAGAGTCTTGCTCTGCCGCCCAGGCTGGAGTGCAGTGGCGCAATCTGGGTTCACTGTGACCTCTGCCTTCTGGGTACAAGCGATTCTCCTGCCTCAGCCTCCCCAGTAGCTGGGATCACAGGCAGCAGCCACCATGCCCGGCTAATTTTTGTATTTTCAGTAGAGATGGGGTTTCACCATGTTGCTCACGGGTCTTTAACTCCTGAGCTCAAGCGAACCACCCCCCTTGGACTCCCAAAGTGCTGGGATTACAGGCATGTGCCACCATGCCCACCCTCTTGTTTTTCAAGATGCCACCTTTTGGGGAAACTGGGTAAAGGGTACATAAGATATGCATTATTTCTTACAGCATATTAACTTATAATTACCTCAAATTAAAAGTTGGTTTTTTTTTTCTGTCTTCAGATTGGAGTTCAGTGGCCCGATCTTGGCTCACTGCATTCTCCGCCTCCCAGGTTCAAGCGATTCCCCTGCCTCAGCCTCCCGAGTAGCTGGGGACTACAGGCGTGCACCACCATGCCCAGCTGATTTTTTGTATTTTAGTAGAGAGAGGGTTTCACCATGTTGGCCAGGATGGTCTCAATCTCCTGACCTCATGATCCGCCTGCCTTGGCCTCCCAAAGTGCTGAGCCAAGATTGTGCCACGGCACTACAGCCTGGGTGACAGTGTGAGACTCCGTCTTAAAAATAAATAATTTGGAGCATCGCGGGGGTGCCCAGCTGCCGCACCTGGGCCACCCGGACCTCCAGAAAAAAATTAAAAAATAAAAAAGCCATCAGATTTCAATGAAAATCCACTATATGTGTATTGAAGAACCAGAAATCCGGGGCCCCCCGAGGGACCCACGTTTCTTAAGGTGGACCCAGGCAAGGCTGCCCCTGCATCCAGGGCCTGTGCTGCGCCACCCCAACCTGCCAGCCTCCAGCCCCCCCGCGCCAGCTAACAGGGCTGCCGTCCTGAGGCCATCCTCGTCCTTCCTGTCTGCCTCACTGCTCCAGCCTCCCTGCGGTCCTCACATCTACGCTGCGGGCCCTGTCTGAGCCTGAACGCCTCCTCCTCACCCCCAGACGGTCAGAGCCACCTCCCGCGTCAGTCCCAGCGGACGCGCCCCCAACAACGGGCACTCGTCCGACCGCAGGGAGTCAGTATCGGGCCACTGCGCCTGCGCAGCTATGGCTCACGAGTGACTGTGTCCCCCCCACCACCAAGGCCTAGGCTGGACAAACAAATACAGGGTGGGTAAAGCGGAGGAAACTGCGGCCAGGAGGCGCGAGGCCTGTGCGGGCAGCTCCCCGGGCTCAGAGGCGAGGCCCCGCCAGCTGACCACAGGAACTGCGCGGGACGTGGGCTGATGAACGAATGAATGAATGTGGGAAGAAATGATGGCGCGGCCCAGGTCACGAAGGCGAAACCATAAGTCTGGAGGACTGATGAGTGAATGAGTGACATAAGCGAGCAGGAGGAACGCTGCTACAGAAGTGAACGCCGTAAGGTTCGCGTTCATGGAGCTGGAGGCAGACGCGAGAAGAGATTCCGCCCCCACCAGCGTCACCTCTAGCCCGTGCCTAGTTACTTCCGGGCCGCTCTGGACCTCGCGGAGGCCTAGCTCTCGGTGGTCCCAGAGGGCCCCGCTCCGCGCCCCGCCCTGCCCCGCTCGGCGGGAGCGGTTGGAGCCGCCGGGCTGATCCATGCTTGGCCGGATGGTGTCCGTCCGCGTCACTCACTATCCTCGGCCCACCCCTAAATCCGCTAGGCGCGGCCCGAGAGAGGCACGCACGCGGGCCCGAGCCACAGGGAATGGTGGGGCGGGCGAATGGGCACCGGCTCTCCTGGCAGGCGCGATCGCGTTCAGCCGAGCAGCCCAGCGCCTCGCGGTTCTCCCCACTGCGCCTGCGCAGCTATGGCTCGGCGGCGGGCGCGCGCTTGTGGTCCCTATGGGGACGTCGCCGCAAGCGAGCGACTTTCTGGCGTCTGGCGTTACCATGGATGCGCTCCCGCCTTTTCCTTTTCCCCTGCGCGGGCCCGCCTTTTCCCCTGCGCGGGCCCGCCTTTTCCCCTGCGCGGGCCCGCCTTTTCCCCTGCGCGGGCCCGCCTCTCCGGCACACACTCGGCAGCTCCGCGGTCGCTCGAGGCTGCGGGGATCGCGGACGCCTGACTGGCTGATCTCGCTTCTCCCTAGTCGTCCTTGTCTGGCCCCAGGCCGTCTTTGCCACCCTGGAACCTAGCTTAGTTAACGCCACTGAGCTGCATCTCACACCCACGCGCTCTGGACCACTCACCAAGCTGGAATCCATGCACTTTATTTTTAAAATAGAGCCGGAATCTCGGAAGCTCAGCAGGGTCGGGCCTGTTAGTACTTTGATGGGAGACCGCTTTGGAACACCGGGTGCCGTTGACTAAAGCCGTGTGCGGTGGCCCACGTCTGAAATCCCAGCACTTTGGGAGGCTGAGGCGGGCAGATCACGAGGTCAGGAGATTGAGACCAGCTTGACCAACATGGTGAAACCCTGTTGGTTTCAAAAATAAAAATACAAAATTTAGCCCAGCGTGGAGGCGCGCGCCTGTAATCCCAGCTACTCAGGAGGTTGAGGCAGGAGAACTGCTTAACCCGGGAGGCAGAGTTTGCAGTGAGCCGAGCTCGTGCCACTGCACTCCAGCCTGGGCAACCGAGTGAGACTCTGTCTCAAAACAATATACATAAATAAATAAGACATAGACCGTTGCCGGGTGTGGTGGCTCAAGCCTGTAATCCCAGCACTTTGTGAGGCTGAGACAGTCGAGTCACTTGAGGTCAGGAGTTTGAGACCAGCCTGGCCAACATGGCGAAACCCCGTTTCTATTAAAAATACAAAAATTAACCAGGCATGGTGGCTCGCGCCTATAATCTCAGCTACTCGGGAGGCTGAGGCAGGAGAATCGTTTGAACCTGGGAGGCAGAAGTTGCAATGAGCGGAGATGGTGCCACTCCACACTCCAGCCTGGGCAACAGAGCAAGACTCCATCTCAGAAAAAAAAAAAAAAAAAAAAAACACACACACACACACACACACACACACACACACACCAGGTGCTGTAAGCTAAAATAAATAAATAGCTAGAGAGGGGATCTCACTATATGGCCCAAGCTGGTCTTGAACTCCTAGGCTTAAGTGATCCTCCTGCCTTGGCATCCCAAAATGCTAGGATTACAGGCATGAGCCACCATCCCCAGCCTCCATGAGCTTTTTGGTACCAATTTTTCCCAGTTTGCACTGGGGAGCCCCCACCCCAACCCAGGTGGTTTGGGCAGATGTGGGTACATAGCCCAGGCCCGCAACACAGATCAGTGCATCACCCTGGTCCTGGTAATGGCCACTTTGAACCTGTGAGCATTATGGGACTTCTCTCTGAACTATTAGGGCCTCTTCTCTTTTAAACCTGTGGCTGTGAGCATCTGTCAGCAGGGGCTGCTGCAGCCTTCTTGCCCCCATGAGGGATGAATCTGTCAGAGAATGGAGTCCATACAGAAAAGCAGAACTGAGGGATGATGTGTTAGTTTCCTGTGGTTATGCAGCAAATTACCACAAATTTGGAGGCTTAAAACAACAGAAATTTATTCTTTCACAGTTCTGGGGACCAAAAGTCTGACATTGATATCACTGAGCTGAAACAAGATGTTGACAGGGCCGACCTCCTTCTGGAAGCTCTAATGTAGAACCTTTTCTTGCCCTTTTCAGTACCTAGAGGTGCATTCCATGTATTCCTTGGCCTACAGTCCTTTCCTTCATCCTCAAATAACTGGTAACATCTTACTCTTTCTCTAAGTTAAAATATGTAACATATGTTCATTTTATCTCATTTGCATGAGAGTCAATTTTAGCTTAAAATTTTTTTTTCAGGCCAGGCGCGGTGGCTCACGCCTATAATCCCAGCACTTTGGGAGGCCGAGGCGGGCGGATCGCGAGGTCAAGAGATCGAGACCATCTGGTCAACATGGTGAAACCCCGTCTCTACTAAAAATACAAAAATTAGCTGGGCATGGTGGCGCACGCCTGTAGTCCCAGCTACTCGGGAGGCTAAGGCAGGAGAATTGCTTGAACCCAGGAGGCGGAGGTTGCGGTGAGCCGAGATCGCGCCATTGCACTCCAGCCTGGGTAACAAGAGCGAAACTCCGTCTCAAAAAAAGAAAAAAAAAATTTTTTTTTCTTGGAATAGTCTCAAAAAACAAGAAAAGATATATAAATAGTTTAAAAAAAATTTTTTTTTTCTTTTTGAGACGGAGTCTTTCTCTGTTTCCCAGGCTGGAATGCAGTGGCGTGATCTCGGTTCACTACAACCTCCACCTCCTGGTTTCAAGCAATTCTCCTGCCTCAGCTTCCCAAGTAGCTGGGATTACAGGCACTTACCACCACGCCCGGCTAATTTTGTATTTTTTTTCAGTAGGGACAAGGTTTCACCAGGCTGGTCTCGATCTCCTGACCTCGTGATCCAGCTGCCTCGGCCTCCCAAAGTGTTGGAATTACAGGCGTGAGCCACTGTGCCCAGCCCAGCTTAAAAATTTTTTTATCAGCCTGGGCAACATGGTGAAACCTCACCTCTACAGAAAAATACAAAAATTAGCCAGATGTGGCTGTGTGTCCCAGCCAGCTACTCATGGGCCTGAGGCCCTTGGAAACCCCAGTGAAGGCTCTGGCTTAGAGCTCACCCTTGCTCCTGCCGCTGCTGCCTCCGACAGATGCTGGTGCTTTCTCATGTGTCCTTCCTCAGGGGCCGCACCTCCTGTTTCTAGGATCTATGAGCATAATGAATTTTGTTTTCCTGAGCTTGTCCTGCGTCTCCTCTTCTGGCCACACCTGACTGAGCAGCACATAAAAGCCACAGAACACCAGGAGAGCTGCTGCTTGGGGAATTCCTGCAGGAAGAGTCCTGGAGGATGTGGTGGGGGGAAGGCAAGGACTGCTCTCCCTCTCCTGGAGGCTGGGGAGGGCTTCAAGGAGACTACAAGGTGGAAGGAAACTTGGGCAGGGCCTGCCTCATCAGGATGCTTTCCCCAGAAAAGAAGGGTTTAAGCTGCTGGTGGATGAGTCCTGGATTAACCAAGACCTGGGCCTTCTGGGGGCTGTGGAGGACTGAGGACATTATGAGGTGCGTTTCTCCCTGGGTGGATTCCCCAGGGCCTCTGAGGCTGGTTTCAGGCCCTGCCCTTTGGCTGCCCCACTGGAAGCTAAGCATCCACACCTCAGAGGTGCTTTCCCTGGTCTGACCTTGGCAAGGGCAGATAGAGAGGTACCCCAGGAATGTTCACCAACGTCTGGGGCGTAAACAGCACCCATCTACACAGTACCATTAGGGCCACAGAGTGTGGTAAATGTCAATGGCCAGCTCAGGTGGTCCCCAGTGTGGCTGCGGGGACCATCTAGGAATCTTCTGCTTCGGGGTCCCAGGCCACACTTTGGAAACTATTGGAAGCAACAAGGCCCAGGCCCTGAGGGCCCAGCTCTGCCCTCTCCGGGGCTCTGGTTGAGCCATGTGCAAGCATCCTCCTGGCCCTCCCAGCTGGTGTGAGGAGGAAATGCACGCCAAAGGGCAATGTCCTCGAACAGGCCTGTCCATAGTCAGCCTTCCCCTGTCGGCCTCTGGAGTGAGGGAGCCTTGGGTCTGTCTGGAGCCAGTGTGGATGAAATGCAGAAAGAAATTGGAATCGCAGCCATGGACAGCCACTAATATAGCTGGGAAGAGGTGGACTCCCACCTCTGTGGTGCTGGGGGCATCATGCCAACAACTCTGGCGCCCACTTTACTTCCACTCACACCGCGGAGCCTTGGGGAGATGCGATTCAGCCTGATGTGCTTCCGGGGAAAATAAGGAGACCCCGCTAGTCAATCAAACCAGGGCAAGCTTGCCAGGGCATTACACTCCACCTAAGGGAACCCTTTCTGCAGTGACTACTGGGCTGCCAGGGCTGGGATAGGCAGAAGACTGCCTCAAGGTCTCACCTCTGGAGGGTCACGAGCTGTGCCGGGCCGGCTACGGCAGAGGGTGTGCAAACACCCTGAGGTCCCAAGGCTCCTGAATCCGCCTAAGGGGCAGTAAGAGGTCCTAGGTTCGAATCCTGCTTCCGCCGTCTTATGGTCTTGCCTCCGGAGAGTCATTTTTCCCTGTTTCCTCACATACCAGAGAGCCCAGTAACACACACCATATCTCTGCGGAGAAAAAAACCCCAGAGATTGTGGACACAGTGCCTGGGCCACATAGCGCCCCGTAGAGATTATTACTGCTTTTGCCTGCAACTGGATGCTGCGTGCCCAGTTAGAAAAGGTTAAACAAAACTTGAACAGTGGAAGCCTGTGACACCATGTGTACAAAGTCAAGTTTAATCAAGGTTACAAACGTTTGTGGGTTTTCAGGGACAAAGGCCTCTCCTGGACGCGTGGTTCGCTTTGGCGACGCGTCGACTCTCCACTCCTGGAGGTCAAGGCGCGGCGCGGCCGGTGTGCCGCTCCTGGTGCTGGTTGAGGTTGGAGCGCTGGCTGAAGGCGCGGCCGCACTCCCCGCACGCGTAGGGCCGCTCGCCCGTGTGCGTGCGCAGGTGGCGCACGAGGCTGCAGGTGCGCACGAAGGCCTTGCCACAGTCGCGGCAGATGTAGGGCTTCTCGCCCGAGTGCAGGCGCTCGTGCTGGCGCAGCTCGGAGCAGCCGCGGAAGGTCTTGCCGCACTCGGGGCAGCGGTAGGGCCGCTCGCCGGTGTGCGCGCGCTGGTGTTTCCCCAGGCCCGAGCGGCCCTTGAAGGCCTTTACGCACAGTCGGCATGCGTAGGGCTTGGCGCTACTGTGCGTGCGCTGGTGGCGGCTCAGGTTCGAGCGCTGGTTGAAGGCCTTGCCGCACTCGGGGCACGCGTAGGGCTTCTCTCCGGTGTGCACGCGCCGGTGCTCCACGAGGTGAGAGAACAGGCCGAGGGCCTTCGCGCACTCCACACACTCGTACGGCTTCTTCCCGGCTCCCGACACCCGTCGGGGACTCCGCTCGCCACAGTCCCCCCAGGGCGGGCGCTGCAGCCAGAGGGCACGCTGGACCATGACGGGGCAGCGGCTGTGGCGCTCCGCCAAGTGCGTCTTCTGGTGGCGGTACAGGCCGGAGCAGCGCACAAAGGCCCTGCCGCACTCGTCGCAAGCGTACAGTCGCTGGGCCGGGGGTTCGGGAACATCCAGGCAAGGTTGCGAGGTTTGGTCGCACTCGGGACACACTGGGGGGCCTTTGCCCGGCTGCTGCTGTTTGGGGCGAAAGCGCTTCCCGCACCGGGCACACAGACTGGGCTCCTCCGTCGCCTGCAGCCGCTCTTGGGTGATCCGCGGGGCCCTCCAAGCAAAGGCCTCGCCGCACGCGCAAGCCCGGGGCTGCTCCACCTAGGGTCTTCTTCCGCGGGAGGTCGGCTTTGGGGTCTGCGGGTAGGTCGGAGCGCCAGTCCGCGGTTGGCACGGCCAGCAGTCCGTGTGGACCTCACACAGTTGAGTCCAGGGGTGGTTGCGGAGCCACTCCGGACAAGGGTCACTCACGGGGGGCTTCTCCCAGCGGGCGCCCCGCGATGCAGCGCCAGGCAGGACTTCCTGCTGCAGTTCCCAGCAGGCTCCGGGCTTCCACAGGGGCCCTCCCCAGCCTGCAACCCCTCGGGGGTAACTAAGTCCGGGTCCTGAGAATAGGCGGGGCCGCACGGCTCCTGCACTAGGGGTCTGGTCCCTGGACCGGGGGTTACCCCGAGGCTGCAGCCCCGTGAGCCCCACCCTGGGGGAGTCGTCAGGCCACCCGCTGCCCCTCCAGGCAGGTCCGCCTTTTGAGTGGGGCGGCTCTCTGCCCGGTCTTCTTCGAGGGGCCTCGGCTCCTCGGGCCTCTTCGCCCAGGCCCCGGAGACACCTCGGGCATGAGCCTTGGGGATTCCTCCCTGCCCAGCCTTGTGGGCCGAAGCCTCCATCCTGGGACTGGCCCCTAGCGCAGAGTCCTGGCTGTAGGATCTGGAAAGCAGGGAGAAATGGAGCTGGCAGTTCCCAGGAGAAGAGGAAAACTGGGACAAAGAGCAACCACCCCACAGCTGGCACCTACTGGGAGGCCCCCAGCTTTCTGCAGACTTGAAAGGGTAAATGGAGTCAGGGCCTCCTGCCCCTCTTCAAATTGTCAACACCCAGATCCCAGAAAACAGCTTCCCGGGCGCTCTCTGCACACATCACTGCTCCTCCTCCACACTGGATCCTAAAATATTGTGCCCCTGGCTAAGGCCCTCCCTGGTCCCCCTTCCCCAAGCAACAGGGACTCCGGGTCCTCCTGGCTCCATTCACTGCCATTGTCCAGCTCTTCTGGGAGGTGTGAGGTGGGACTCACCTGACAGCTGAGAGCCTGGCCAGGAGATCTTCACTGTGGAGGCCAATGCTGGGCTGCCTCTCCCCTCTTCAACCAGGTAACCGTGGTTGTCTCAAGCCTGGCAGCGTCATCTACAAAATGGGTATGATAATGGTAAATATAAACAGCTGAGCAGGGAGACAGGCAACCCAGTTCATTCCAGCAAGTGTGGACATTAGCAAGGCCTGGTGCCTGCTATTACTATTTTAAAATTCTGCCTTGGCTATGTTAGTTACCTACTGCTGCTTTAACAAACTGCCATCACCACAGTGGCTTGAGGCAATGCAAACTTGTCATCTCACAGTTCTGGAGGTCAGAAGTCCTAAATGAAGGTTTCAGTAGTGTGGGTTCCTCCTGGAGGCTCTTGGGGAGGATGTTTGCTAACCATTTCCAGCTTCTAGATGCCACCTACTTTCCTTTCTTCCATCTTCAAGCCAGCAGTGAGACATCTTCGTCTCTCACTTTCTGGGCTTGTCGTCAAATCTCCTTATACTCCTTATAGGACTTGGATCCTTCTGCCTCTTGTGATCACACTAGGGCAAGCAGACATAATCCAGGAATCCCCCCATCTCAGGATCCATAACCTCATCACACTCAGTTCTTTTGCTTTGTGAAACAACATATTCACAGGTTCTAGGGACCAGGACATGCACATCTTTTAGGAGGCCATTATTCTGCCTACAACAGTAGACTTTGCCAAGCTCTTCACACCTTACAGGGAAAACACAGTACATGCATCAAGATGCCATTTAGGTGAAACACACGTTTAGCCTGAGTTAGGAAGGATACACACAGCTCAGACCACTCCCACCTGGAGTGCGGCTCACTTGGCTGGACTCAGTGGTGACTTGCATAGGGAGGACTCCAGTCTTTGGGCACTATGCATGGAGGGGTTGGGCAGAGGAGAAGGCCCACCTGGTAGGCAGACTGGTTACTTACAGGGAAATTGAACAAGTAGGTGAGAAGAATGAAGCTTATGAGAGCAAAGTTTTTCACTGTTGGAGAAAGAAGTGATAAAAGGGGAAAGGAGAGGCTACAACAAACCCTGCAGCGCAAACTAGAGACACTGTGAGTTCCTAATCTGTAGCCCGCACTGACAGTAGATACACACACGTGCATATGTAAATATTCGTCTCCTAAGCTAGCAGTTGAATGGCCAAAAATAGAGGAGGAGAAAGCAGAGGACTTGCTTCTTGATCAGGAAACCCTTTAACTCAATGACAGTTACTGAGAATCTGAGAACTGACTTATAAAATGTCCCATGGATAAGAAAGGGAATTTTCACCTGTAATCTCAGCACTTTTGGAGGCTGATGTGGCTGGATCACTTGAGGTCAGGAGTTTGAGACCCGCTTGGCCAACATGGTGAAACCCCACCTCTACTAAAAATATAAAAATTAGCCTGGCTTGGTGGCGGGTGCCTGTAATCCCAGTTACTCAGGAGGCTGAGGCAGGAGAATTGCTTGAACCCAGGAGGCGGAGGTTGCAGTGAGCTGAGATTATGCCATTGCACTCCAGCCTGGACCACAGAGTGAGATTCCATCTCGGAAAAAAAAAAAAAAAAAAAAATTAGCCAGGCATGGTGGTAGTGCATGCCTGTAGTCCCAGCTACTCAGAAGGCTGAAGCAGGAGAATCACTTGAACCTGTGAGGTGGAGGTTGCAGTGAGCCAGAATTGGGCCACTGCACACCAGCCTGGGCGACAGAGTGAGACTCTTGTCTTAAAAAAACGACGGGGGCGGGGGTGGAATTTTCCTCACTGCGTTGTGATGTGAGGTCTCTCAGCCTCACACTACACAATCCTGTCCCCTTCCTAGATCTCATTGTTTCCAGAACAAAGATGGATCTGTTCAGCACAGCCTTTGAACTATGAATCCCGATGGCTAACATCACATTCAGAGCACAAGATGGACACGCTTGTGGCACCCTTTTAAATCACTGCTTCATTGAGCACGGGAACCCAGATTCTTCTCCTTTTGTTCTGTGTTCCTTTTTCTGTGGAAGGTAGATGTCCCTGTATTTTATTTTATTTATTTTTAGCATTTATTTATTTATTTATTTAGAGATGGAGTCTTTCTCTGTCACCCAGGCTGGAGTGCAGTGGTGAGATCGCAGCTTACTATAGCCTCGGCCTGCCAGGTTCAAGCAATTCTGCTGCCTCAGCCTCCCGAGTAGCTGGGACTACAGGTGTGTGCTATCATGTCTGGCTAATTTTTTTTTTTTTTTTTTTTTTTTGGGAGACGGAGTTTCGCTCTTGTTACCCAGGCTGGAGTGCAATGGCGCAATCTCGGCTCACCGCAACCTCCGCCTCCTGGGTTCAAGCAATTCTCCTGCCTCAGCCTCCTGAGTAGCTGGGACTACAGGCATGCGCCACCATGCCCAGCTAATTTTTTGTATTTTTAGTAGAGACGGGGTTTCACCATGTTGACCAGGATGGTCTCGATCTCCTGACCTGGTGATCCACCCGCCTCGGCCTCCCAAAGTGCTGGGATTACAAGCTTGAGCCACCGCGCCCGGCCCCATTTTTTTTTTGTATTTTTAGTAGAGACGGGGTTTCACCATGCTGGCCAGGCTGGTCTCAAACTCCTGACCTTGTGATCCGTCCACCTCAACCTCCCAAAGTGCTGGGATTACAGGTGTGAGCCACCATGTCTGGCCAGATATCCCTTTTTAAATTTTTTATTTTGTATTTTTATTTATTTATTTATTTGAGACAGTTTCACTCTGGTGGCCCAGGCTGGACTGCAGTGGCATGATGTCAGCTCACTGCATCGTCCACCTCCCGGGTTCAAGCAATTCTCCTGCCTAAACCTCTCGAGTAGCTGGCATTATAGACACCCGCCACCACACCCAGCTAAGTTTTGTATTTTTTTTTCAGTAGAGATGGAGTTTCGCCATGTTGGCCAGGCTGGTCTCGAAATCTTGACCTCAGGTGATCCACCCCCGTTGGCCTCCCAAAGTGCTGGGATTACAGGTGTGAACCACCATGCCCAGCTGATATCCCTTTATTAAATGTCTCAAAAATCTAAGTATTTAGCAAGAGATCCCTGATCTGATGTTACTTTTCCTGTTTTGTAAATTTCTTTTTTTTTTTTTTTTTTTTGAGACAGAGTCTTGCTCCGTCGCCAGGCGCCAGGCTGGAGTGCAGTGGCGTGAATCTTGGCTCACTGCAACCTCTGCCTCCCGGGTTCAAGCAATTCTCTTGCAAGTCCGGAGTAGCTGAGACTACAGGTGGGTACCACCATGTCCAGCTAATTTTTTTGTATTTTTAGTAGAGATGAGGTTTCACCATGTTGGCCAGGATGGTCTCGACCTCTTGACCTGGTGATCTGCCCGCCTCAGCCTCCCAGTGTGCTGGGATTATAAGCATGAGCCACTGTGCCCGGCTGTTTTGCAAATTTCTAACAGGCAGTTGCCCTGGGCCACCTAGTGGCCTGAAATAATTTAACCTGAGTTAAGTTCATTTAATTCAGGAAGCATTTAACCAAGACTGGATGTCGACTTTTTAGCCAAGGGCACTTCAGAACAACTGGCTTCAGCTCTTTGAAGGAAGCTATTACCAGTTGTCCCTGGTGAATTATTTCGTCCTTGGACAACATGACCACATGGCAGAAATGCATTGATGGCCAGCACTCTGGGGACGAATGTTTTTGAGTGGAAATTAAACATGCCAAACTGGTTAAAGACAAATATGCAGAGTTGGACAAGTTCTGCAGGTCATGAAGGGCCTTTGAAGCAGCCTTGGTTCCTGTTCTTCTCTACGGGAGGCTTCTGGGTGAGCTGCAGAGCAGACAGGCCCAGTGCCAAGGGTTCAGCAAGTACTGTTTCCAGGCATTTGCTAATAAACCAGGGTGACACTAAGGACAAGGAGACTCTGTTGTGATGTAGAAACTCTCAGCCTCACTTGTCACATGTGGTAACTGCACAACTCTCCTGTCCCCTCCAGGTCTGTGTGAGACAGGGAAGGTGAGGCTGCCCTTCCCTGTCTGCACCTTAAAGCCACTCAGGGTCTGGATTTTCCTGAAACTTCTGGAGCTGCATGCAGGCTCACAAAGGCACTGATCCTTCCTTAATCTCTGTCCCTCAAGAGTGGCACTAATCAGGACTAACTTATAGAAAATCCGTCACCTTTCCCCCACTATGGGCTCTGACACTTCATGCCTTGGTCTCTCCGCCTATCAAATTAGCCAGCTGGAGCTTTGAACTCAAGGAGGCATGCTTGGAAGTGAGGATGTCTGGGTGCTGCTGAACACCAGCACGCTTTGCCGCATGGTCTGGACTGTGCACAGGGCTCCTAGAGTGACCTGTCACCTCCCAAGCAGGTGGAAGGCTGTGAGAGAGAATGGGCAGTCAGTTACAAACATCTTCTTCCCAAACACTTGTGGATCTAGTCTGAGGCTACTTCTTCCAGGTGAGGGGTTGGCTGGCTGCAGCTGTGGCTTGTTATGCTCTTTCTGCCCTGAAGTCTTGAGCGTGCAGCTTCCAAAGATGAGGATAGGGAATGACATGGGCACATGGGAAGGCCAGCAGCCACGGGCCCCACCTGCCCATGGGCACTGACCATCCCAACAGCAGGTGGACATGAATCTAACTCACAACAGACACCAGAGTAGAGGGAGCTGAGTTCCCCAAGTCCGGATGGGGGGTTCTCACAGGCCCCCACAGGGGAGGCAAGGGAAGCTTTCTCCAGAATGTGGAGTACGGACTCCTTGTGTGAATAAAGTACATGAGCTGGGGGGGTCCGGATTTCAAAAAGCACCACTCATACACCTAGGACTGGCAAAGCTGCTGGCAGTAAGGTCTATTGTGTGGCTCCCCAACTGCAGATGAGCTGACTGGCCTCAGCTGGCACTATCCATGCTCAGTGTTTCCCCTGAGAACAAGAAGACCTGGCAAAAAAGGGGAAAGTACAGAACACGCTCCCACCTGGCTGGTGGGGGTATAGATAGTGCAGCTGCCGTGGAAACCTTCAGTTCCACAGAAGGGTAAAGATGGAGTTACCACACCCCCAGCAACTCCACCCCTAGGTATCCACCCAAAAGAAATGAACAGAGGCACACAAGCAAACACTGGCTCGCAGATGTTCACAGCAGCACTGTTCACAGTAGCCAAAATGGGGAAACAAGCCAAGTATATCAAATGACAAATGCATAAATAAAATATGCTATGTCCATAGAATTAGATATTATTCAGCCATAAAAAAGGGATGAGTACTAACACATACTGCAACATGGATGGACTTTAGAAAACACATTAGGTGAAAGAAGTGAGTCACAAAAGACCACATATTGCATAATTCCATTTATGTGATATATCCAGAATAGGCAAATCCATAGAGACAGAAAGTAGATTAGTAGTCATCAGGAGCTGAGGGAAAAAGAATGAGGAATAATTGCTTTATGGGTATTGAGTTTTGTTTTGGGGTAATTAAAATGTTCTGGAAATTACAGTGGTGATGGTTGCACAACATAGTGAATATATTAAAAACAAAAAAAAATACTAAAAGCTGGCCAGACCTGGTGGCTCACACCTGAAATCCCAGCACTTTGGGAGGCCAGGGTGGGCGGATCACTTAAGGCCAGAAGTTCAAGACCAGCGCAGCCAACGTGGTGAAACCCCATCTCTGCTAAAAAAAAAATACCTGAGTAGCTGGGTGTGGTGGTGCATACCTGTCCTAGCTACTCAGGAGGTTGAGGCAGAGAACTGCTTGCACCTGGGAGAAGGAGGTTCCAATGAGCCAAGATCACACCACTGCACTCGTCTGGGAAACAGAATGAGACTCCTTCCACCCCCCAAAAAATATGTATTTATATATATATATATATATATATATATATATATATATATATATAACATAATATATAAATTATATAAATATATAATGATTTTGTGATGAGATCACCCTAAATAACCTGGGTGTGCCCTAACTCCAAAGACAGGTGTCCTTGTGAAGGAAGCACAGGGAGTTCTGACATGGAGAAGTGGAGGCCATGTGACGATGGAGGCAGATATTGGAGTGATGCAGCCACACTCCAAGGAATACCTGGAGTTGCCACAACCTGGAAGAGGCAAGGAAAGATCCCCACCCAGAGCCATCAGAGAGCACAGCACTGTCGACACCTTGATTTCAGACTTCTGGCTTCCAGGACTATGAGAATAAATTTCTGTTGTTTTAAACTGCCCAGTTTGTGGCAGTGTGTTATAGCAGCCTACAGAGACTGGTTTAGCACCCTCGACAGAATAAGTGTGTTGTGTGGGGCTCTCCTGATCCCTAGTGATGGGGAGTCAGATTAGTGTCTGAACTGCTTAGTGTCTGAACAGAGGGTTGGGGAAGCTGGGTTGAACTGAAGAACCAGCAGTCCCCACATGGCAGGAAGGGACCCTGAAGGGTGCCTGCTAGCCATGTGCAAAGAGCATCTTTGGATTGGTCCCCAGATGCCCTGCTCCCATGGGTGGCTCCTCTGTTACAACAAGAACTGCCTTCCAGCACCAGATGCAGCAAGTGGAAGCTGTGGAGCATAGCTGAGTCTCTTCGCCTCCTTGATCTGTTCCCAGGAGGCACTGTCCAACTATCCACTGTACACGGGTGACATTCCAGCCATGGACCCATGACCTGAGGCTGAGCACAGCAAAGACAATGGAGGCTCTGGGTCCTGAGGCCCCAGGAGCCTGTCCTTAATGGTGCATTACAGCTCTCCCAAGCTGTTCTGACAGTGACCTCCCATCTGCCCCAGGTGAGCATGCTTGCACGTGGGTGCTCACCCAGCCTTTCTAGTTGTCCTCAGGGCTTCTGGTGTTGGGAACAGGATGCAGAGCTACCAATTTAGAGGACTGAGAGGTTAACATGGTCAAGGTGGAGTCCTGCAGAATTGCAGAGCAACAGCACACACAGGAAAGTTAATGAGATTCCACATCCTCATGGAGGTTGGACACGGTACAGTGAGGTCTTATTTGCCCAAGAAAATGTGCAGGGAAGTCGCCTGGCGCGGTGGTTCACACCTGTAATCCCAGCACTTTGGGAGGCCGAGTGGGTGGATCACCTGAGGTCGGGAGTTCGAGACCAGCCTGACCAACATGGAAAAACCCCATCTCTACTAAAAATACAAAATTAGCCGGGCGTGGTGGTGCATACCTATAATCCCAGCTACTCAGGAGGCTGAGGCAGAAGAATCGCTTGAACCCAGGAGGTCGACGCTGCAGTGAGTCCAGATGGTGCCATTGCACTCCAGCCTGGGCAACAGGAGCTAAACTCCATCTCAAAAAAAAAAAAAAAAAAAAAAAGAAGAGAGAGATAGAGAGAACAGGGAAGTCAACGTGAGTGGCTCTGAGGTGTGGAAGACACAGGCTAGTGCCCAGCTCAGCGTGGCTCCACCTCTCTGGGCCACAGACCAACCTCCCCCACACTCAGTCCCAGGGGACACAAACCCTAGCCACGATGTCCAGTTCTACACTGTGCACGCAATGGGAAGAACAGCGCACCATGCACTGCGAGCAGAAGAATGTCTGAGTGCAGACACAACTCCCTCTGTGCCGCCACCCTCAAGGGTGAGCGAGCTTCAACCCTCCAAGGACATCCACTGTGTCGGGGCCAAATGCTGCTGCATCCTGCTCTAATAGTGAGTGAACACCGGGACCGCAGACAAGAAGAAATAACAAGGAAACGGTTTCAGAGAGAAAAAGACCTGAAGAACATCAAACAGGAGCCGCGCGAGAGCGCCGGAGAGGGAGGCGGCTGATTCTTCAGGCCTCTGTGAGGAGCGGGCATGGAGCCGGTCTGGAGACAAGGAAAGGGAACTGCAAGATCAAAGGCCAGGAGGCGGGGCCCGAGGCGGTAGGGAGGCTGGAGTCGGCCACGGCCAGGAGGTGGGCTTGACTTGAGAGCCGAAGGCCGTCAGGATGGGTCCCCGGCCTGGAGCCTCCCCTCGCGGGCCTCAATGATACCCAGCACAGAAACGCCGGGGCCAGAGCTACAGCAGCCCGACCCACCCGGAACTCAAGGTACCGAGTGCTGTGGCTGGTCCGGACCTGGAGCGCGAGGACCGGAAGTGTGCAGCGTCACGCCTCCGCGCCGGACCCCGCGCGCGGAGGTGGACAGGGAACGGGGGTGGTTGCCACGCTACGCGCCCCGAGGTCCCCGCCTCGCAGATTGGGGTTGCGGGTCCGCGCAGAACGCCACTTACTCGCTGGAGGCGGCCCGCACGGGTCCCCTGGTCCCCGCCCTGCGTGCAGCGCGGAGCTTTCCTCCCGCCACCCCTGGGCCGCCGCGGCACTGAGGGACCCGGGCCACCGCAAGCGCAGGCGGGGTCCCGCGCGGGGACTGCTGGGAAACATAGTCCTGTCGAGTCCCGCTTTGACGCTGCGGAGAAGGCGGTATCGTGGGAGGCTTGGGCTCCGGTTGTCCTAGAAACAGGCCGGCTACACCTACCAGGCAGGTCGCGGACCTACGTCGTCGCCAGGGAAACATCGTTCCAGACTGGGACGTAGAGTCCCGCCCATTCAGCCTTGTGAAATCGGGTGACTGTTCTTGACGATGATTGATAGCCCCCCTCTCCCAATCTGACACTTTTCTTTTTGAGATCTCTGCTCCCGGCTACTTCTTTCTCCTGGGTCCCGGTTTAAGCGATTTTCCTGCCTCGGCCTCCCGAGTAGCTAGGATTACAAGCGCGCGCCACCATGCCCGGCTAATTGTTGTATTTTTAGTAGAGACGGGGTTTTTATCACGTTGGCCATGCTGGCCTTGAATTCCTGACCTCGCGATCCGCCCGCCTCGGCCTCCCAAAGTGCTGGGATTACAGGCGTGAGCCACCGTGCCTGGCCCCAATATGATTTCTAAGAGGTCCCAACCCGGGAACGACTTGCGGTTCGCAGCTTCCCTCGGGTGGGAGAGTTGGGCTGGGAAGCACCTGGGGAGCTCTGAAGTGTCCTGGTCGGCGCGTTGCGAGTCATACCACCGTAACATCAGAATCTGGGAGTGGGTCCGAGCATCTGCGAGTCAAAACTCTTCAGTTGATTCTGTTTTTTTGGTTTGTTTCTTGAGACAGGGTCTCTCTTTGTCGTCCAGGCAAATGCAGTGATATCATCATGGTTCACTACACCCTCGACCTCCGGTGCTCAAGCGATCCTCCCACCTCAGCCTCCGGAGTAGCTGGTAACACAGGCACGTGCCACCACGCCTAATTTTCTTTCTTTTCTCCCTCCCATTCCCCTTCCCCCTCTCTCCCCCTTCCTCTCTCTCCGCCTGCCCTCTTCCTTCCACTGTGTCGCCCAGGTTGGTGTCGAACTCCTGTGCTAAAGCAACCCTCCCACCTCACCCTCCCGAGTAGCTGAGACTGTAGTGACTATAGGTGGGAGCCACCATGTCTGGATAGATTTATTTATTTATTTATTTATTTAAGAGATAGGGTCTCCCTATGCTGCCCAGATTGTTCTGGAACTTATGGGCTCAAGCAATCCTTGTGCCTCAGCCTCCCAAAGTGCTTGGAGTACAGGCTTGAGCCACTGCCAGATCCCTAGTCTGGTCCCCAGATGATTCTAATATGTGTGGCCCCATTGGGGAATCACAGCCTCCCCCAGCTCCTTTGGTGGTGCTAACTCTACGGGCCCTCCCAGGTAGAATGAACTGGTCAGGCCTCCTACCCATTTGTCACCCAGCTCTTGCCCCCATCTATTGTGTGTCTCCTGCCCTCCATAGGGACATCTAATTTTGTTGGCCAGTCCAGCACATATATTGCATGTAACGACCCAGTTTGCCCCACCTTCCTGCCTCTACTGCATCTGCTTCAGGGATGCTGTGACTGTTCCATTCCCTTTCTCCATCCTGTGGGTGTCTGCACATCAAAAGCCCTGCCAAGCAGTCCATTTCCCCGTCCAAGCACAAAACTAACCCTAACCCTACCAAGCTCATAGAGGGCTGCCTGCCTTGTGGGTCCCCTGGTGGCTCAAGAGTGAGTTGCACATGAAGGCCTTGACAGTTGTCAGAGAAAGGACTGCAGCTGCTGGCTCTGTGTGGGTGTGCAGATGTCTGACAGGTTCAGCCACTGGCCCCAATTGGGATACAAGTAGGATTTCTCACTCCTGTGGATACAGTGTTGCCGGAGGAGCCTTGAGCCCATGTGGAAAAACTTCCCACTCTCCTGCACAGAAAGGGCCTCCTTCTGGAGTGAAGTACCTGGTGGTGCCACAGGCCTGGCCACAATGAAAAGACCTTGTCCCTGCAGGGCTGGCATGGGGTCACTGGCAGCCTTATAGTGGAATTTGAAGCACCAGGGAAAGGCCTTAGCACTCAGCAGGCATAGGTGTGGGGGACTTGTCTGGAGGGGACTGGCTATGGGGGGCTGTGAAAGTCTGTAGGCTTTCTTCACGTCTACACAAGCCTGCTGTCTAAGTGGACCCTGCAGTGTTCCTGCAGGGGCAGCACCAGAGAAACATCTTGTGACAATGTTCACACAGGAGGGATTTCAGGAATGAGACTCTGAATCAGGCAAGGACCTAGAGAGGAAGCTCCACTGGGGCTCCCACCCAAGGGGTCCAACTTTACTAATCCCACAACCTAGACTGGGGTTCATTCTATGTCTGTAGGCCTAGTACCCTGCACCCTGGAAAGTGGTCCTGCTGCCAGCCATCCCTCCACAGAGGTCCCCCTCTTGGCTGTATGCTGTCCTCAGCAAAGGGCCTCTGCTCCATTTCAGGCCTCTCCTGAGGGCCCAGGGCAGCTTACTGCAAAGCAGCCTCAGGGAATGGAGGCTTCAGCGGGCCATCTGGGCCCCCAACACAGAATTCTGGTTGTAGGATCAGGAAAAACAGAGGAGAAATGGAAGTTAGCAGTTCCCAGGAGGGGAAAAGGTGCTGGGAGCCATGAAAGCAAACCCCAGTGGCTGAAGCATCTTGAATGACTAGGCCAAATTCCCTTAAGAATCTTCCTTTTCTCCCTGGCATCACTATAAAAAAAAATCTTTTTATTTATTTTTATTATTTTTTTGAGACAATCTCACTGTTACCCAGGCTGAAGTGAAGTGACATGATCTCAGCTTACTGCAGCCCCTGCCTCCCTGGTTCAAGAGATTCTCCTGCCTCAGCCTCCTGAGTAGCTGGGACTACAGGCGCATGCCACCACGCCCAGCTAAGTTTTTGTATTTTTAGTAGAGATGGGGTTTCACCATGTTAGTCAGGATGGTCTCTGTTTCCTGACCTCATGAGGTAGGAGGCTTGCCTGACCCTGGGAGTCAGTGGTCGCAGTAAATTGAGATGGCACCACTGCAATCCAATCTGGGTAACAAAGTAAGACCCCCATCTCAAAAACAAAAAAGCCAAATGTTCTATGATTCTATTACTGTAAAATACCAGGGTTAAGCAGATCCGTACAGAAAGTTTCACTAGGATTCATTGCCCGGAGCTGCGGGGAGTGTGGCAAATGGTAGGACAATTCTCTGTGTGGTGATAATAACATTCTGGAATTAAACTGGTCATGGTTGTACCACTTTATAAATATACTAAAGACAAAGCCACTGAATTGCACACTTTAAAATAATTTTGTGGTACATGACTAGTATCCTAACTTAAAAGTTACAAGCAGCTGGGCGCAGTGGCTCATGCCTGTAATCCCAGCACTTTGGGAGGTCGGGGCAGGCACACTGCCTGAGGTCAGGAGTTCGAGACCACCTTGGTCAACATGGTGAAATCCTGTCTCTACTAAAACTACAAAAAAATTAGCCAGGTGTGGTAGCATGCAGCTGTAATCCCAGCTACTCGGGAAGCTGAGGCAGGGGAATCACTTGAACCAAGGTGGTGGAGGTTGCAGTGAGCCGACATCGTGCCACTGCACTGTAGCCATGGTGACAGAGCAAGACTCGGTCTCAAGAAAAAAAATGACAAGAAATAAATAGAACAGTCAGTGAAGGACTCACGGAGAAGGTAGGATTCGAGGCATGACCTGAGGAGTGGAAGGAGTGAGCCATGGAGCTCTCCGGGAGAAGCAGGTTGGGTGAGGGAACAGCAAACACAAAGGTCCTGAGGAGGCCTGTGTCGTTCCACATGCAGAAAGAGGATGAAGGGTGACAGGGACCTATCTCATG